TACCTGCCCGGTCCGAATCTCATCCGGGTCTGACGACCTTCCCCCCTTTTTATCTGCGTTGGCCTGAGTTGGTGTTTGGCGCGAGTCCGTGGTCCGGTCAAGCCAGCTTGATAGGGTGTTGGATTTCCGGTTCACCAACTTCTACCGACCGGTCTCAGTTAGCCGGTCCGTCTTTTGCCACCGGTCCCCGGCCGGTTTCAAACTCTGACTGACCCGGCTGACTGCTGACTGGACGGTTTTCGCCAACGGATAAAAAAGGAGGGTTGACCGCGCGCTTGTTGTGTACTCTAGGTCCTGTCCCCTCCGTCTAAACCCGGTAGGAAACGGAAGCCGTAACCGAACAAGCTGAAACGCTTCGATATGCTTGGTGAAGCTCGGCTCTGCTTGGCTCGGGGAGTGCCGCGGGCCAAGCAGAGCCGAGCTTCACCCAGCGGATCGTAGCGTTGGGATACGGTTGATGATATAAATCCTGCATTGCCCATAATAGAAATTATACCATGTTTCTCATAGCTTAGGGTCCTTAAGGTAATGCAGGATCTATATCACCAACAGTAGGATGCTTTTGTTGGAACGAAACCTAGAGGCGCCCGCCACCAGGCTCATCGGGCCGTACGGCGCAACACTGCTCCAACTCACGCAGCTACAGGCACCCTTGCAGCCTGCCCTCGGCCATGCTTTGCCTGGTACACGGGTGCTTTTGCGGCGGAGCTGGCTGCCTTCGCCGTGGCGAAGCCACGGCAAATGCCGCCAGCTCCGCCGCAAATTGCATCCTATCAACCGATAATGACGGCATCACTGCTCTAATGTGCGCTTCTCAAACAGGCCACACTGAAGTTGTGCGCTTGTTGCTGGATGCAGCAGCCGACAAGGACTTCGCCAGCAATTACGGCTTCACTGTCCTGATGTGCGCTTCTCAAAGAGGCCGCACTGAAGTTGTGCGCTTGCTGCTGGATCCAGGATCCGACAAGGGCTTAGCCAGAAACTGCGGTTTCACTGGATTGACTGCTTCTGGACAAGGCTGCGCTGAGATTGTCCGAATGCTGCTGGATGCAGGAGCCGACAATTACGCAGCCACCGGTGACGGCTTCACTGCCCTGATAAGAACGCTGCTAACAAAAACTCAGCCACCAATGACGCGACCTCACTGCCCTGATTCTGGAGTCCGGTGATGACAAGAGCTGACGAACAAGAGACAGCGCTCCTTCCAGATGAGCAGCTTCAAAAGGCCCTGCGAAGGCCCACCACTATCTCAT